AGGGTGCCCCCCCCCCCCCCATGGCCTTGGCCTGTTACTCCAGGAATATATTGCATTACTGCTAAAAGTAACTTGGTGGCTACATTCATTTCATAATGCTTTAAGTTACTGTGGTCTACCTGTATTTAAGCAGAGATGACCTAATGTAGGGAGAATCCTTCATGCCTGCCACATGTTATACCCACTTCCACTGACAAAAAATGATGCACACAAATCTTAGGGTAGAGCTGGAGGCAGCAGCAGGCCCATGTTTTCAAACCCAGGCCAGTGATAAACATCTGCAAAGAAGTGGGAGGTAAAAGAGGATGGGGGGGGCTAGATTTTTTTTTAATCCTGCCTTTATTATTTTTATAAATGGCTCAAGGCAGCAAACATGCCTAATACTCCTTCCTCCTCCTATTTTCCCCACAACAACAACCCTGTGAGATGAGCTGGGCCAAGAGAGAGCGACCAGCTTTCATGCCTAAGGTGGGACTAGAACTCCCAGTCTCCTGCTTTCTAGCCTGGTGCCTTCACTTCTAGACCCAACTGGCTCTCATTTTGGAATCATTCCCCCATCTGCTACTCTTCCTCTTATACCCCCAAATAGTTTTCCTTCTAAAATGGGCTTATTTCCTGCCATTGAAACCAGGCCAAGAAGTGACTTGTATATTTTTCTGCTGCTTGCTTCATCCCCTCACATACCCACGTGTTTTGCAGTGCCTTAGCATGGGCTGTGTTGGAAGAGCGGGGCTTGCCCCTGCTGAATCTTGTTCAGCTCATTGGCTTTAAATATGTGCAGTAATTCTGAAACATAAAGAGTCGGCCCATCAAGCATTCCTGGTTCCCCATAGTGGCTTCTATCGCCCTGATTTGTGTCAATGGGTGTAACCGTGAACGCACCACTAAAGAAATCCATTCAAGCTTTCAGTGGAAGGAACTAGAACTGGCAACCCACTGAAAAAGATGCTTCATGAAACTTAGTGCGAGGATCCCTCCTCAAAGCATGAAAGCAGCTGGGTCAGTGGAAAACCTTGTACAGCTGCTAGGAAGGTTGGCCTCTGCTTTCTGTGCACGTGGGCCTGCACAACATCTTTGCAGGTGGTCCCAGCAAGCATGCTCTATATACCTGCTTATGCAAAGAAGGGATAACCTTCCACAGGTTGCAGCTGTTTTAACGCTTCAAGGAGGGGTACATTGCTCACACCTATGCATTTTTAAAGCATCTCTTTTGAATGATTGGCACAGCCTAGCATGTGCTTCTTCAAAACTGAGCATAGAAGGGACAAAGTTTCTTCTGCATGGCAGCACCAGGTACCAGATGGAAATGAAGCTGGATTAAGATATTGCTGTTGGGTTTCACACTTTCGTAATGATACAGATGTTCTGTATGGGAGGTGGTTATGTAGCCTCTAAGTGGTAGATTCATCTGCTTTATCCTTGCCACCTGTGTTTGGAAAGCAAGCACCAACTGCTTTCTTTTCCAAGGCAGATTTTTGAGAAGATGTGGGCAAACAACAGTGCTCATAATCACTCATGCCCTGATCAATTCCCAGTCGGATTACTGCAATGCAACCCAGAAACTACCATCCAGAAACTACAACTGGCCCAGAATTTGTTGGCACAAATGGTGCTGTGCAATCTGTTTGCTTGGCTTCATTTCATTGTAGGCAGTGCCTCTGCCCCAGTTGGCTGGTGTGTGGTGCACTGGGCACCCCCCCCCATTTAATTAATTAAATTAAACCCTAACCTCCAAGGTCCCTTCCAACCCTATGATTCTATGAAATGCTACATTTGATGCAGAGCAGGAAAAGATGCATGCAAGTCATCTTTGCAGCAGGATAGCATGGGTTGAGAGCCATGTAGTGCCTTCATGTCCACTAGAATTTGTCAGTGGGCTGTTGCTGTTGTCCCACTGGGTCAAGCAAGCCATTTGGATGAGCTCAGGGAGAAATCTCCAACCCTTCCCCCAACAATTAGTTATCAAATGTCCAAACAAGAAGGACCTGTTATTATTCATATCTCTACAGATTATGTGGCAAATACATCTCCTTTACCTAAATGGAGTTTGCACAGCCAGACTTCACATTGTACTCCCAGAGTATAAATATTACATTTTAAAAGTCAAGGGCTGTTTCACTATACTGGTAAGTGGTGCACAGTATTAAGCCTTGGAGGTGCTTCTACTACTGGAAACACTTAACAGGGAGGGGATTGACAACTAAGATTAATTAACATCCCAGTAAACACTAGTTCAAAACAGCCATTGAATCAAAAGCTCATGTTTTGCTGCATTGCCCATTTTATCAGAACTGCCAATCATATTTTCTGTACCTTCTTCTTGCAGGGCATATGGGCTGGCCAAAGTCTGAAATCATGCACTGTTTATTAGCAGACACCTCCACCTTTACTGAAATGTCTACGCTGCTGAATGTTGCTCTGTTGTAATTGCCATCAGAAGCCAATGCATTTAAACTTGTTTAGGCTGAAAGGTCTATTTACCCAACACAGTTTATTATCTTCCTATTGCAGTTTAAATACAAATATAAAACATTTTATTCTACCTTGTTTGCTTTTAATCTATTTTTACCTATTATCTTACCTTAGGTTTTCCTTTTTTCCTGCATTTTTTTCTTTTAATTTGGTTTCCAACTATTAACTAATTGTTTATTATAAATAAAGTTTTTCTTAAACTCATCTCCTTCTCCTGGTTTTGATATTGGAGTTTTCATTGCTGCCTCAGTTCAACTTGAGAACAATGACTGTGCACAGCCAGTGAGTATGTTTTGTACAGGTAGTTCTCATTTAGCGACCATAATTGGAACTGGCAACTTGGTCGTTCAGCAAAGCAGTTGCTACATGAAACACAACTGGGTTTATGATCTTACTTCAACTTCCCTTTCCTTTGCAGACCTGCAACGGTTGTAAATGCAAGGATTGTTTTTTCATCACTGTTGTAACTGCAAACAGTCACTGTACAAGGCAGTTGCTAAACAAAGACTACTTGTACTTATATGGATTGGCAAGCACCAACCGGAATAGTGAAATACTAATGAACTTTTATTTAATCATGCTTAATGTAGGTTGATTTGCCTAGCTGAGTTGCAAACTATGCAACATAATGATTAAGACTTCTTGCATCCCTATCAGAGAGCTATCAAGAGCTTGTAATAAGAATTAAAGAAGGACTAAATATAAATTACAGGGAAATCAACAGTATGGCATTTAAATAAAAACTCTTTAATTTCATCAATTATCTATATCATCGATATCTATATCTAATCTACCATGTTTGCATTGTATACTGTTACATGACTAAGTATCTTGAATTGTTTTCTGCAGTGTAAGACGCAGTACTCTGTAAGAATAGAATTTACATTTTCTGAAAATTATTTTATATGACCTTTCAATATGATTTTGCTCAGTTATAAAATACCCAGTTCTTAATGAGGATACTAATATCCTCCCATTATCTCACAGCCATAGCCAGTTACTGGCAATATGAGAATAGCAACATTAATACTGACATATTTTATGTTGCAATTGTAAAACTTACAGAAATGATGGTTCAGCTCCAGACTGAGTCAGTCAAGTTTAATCAAAAGCCAATGTAGTGTAGCCAGGTTAACATGTTGGCTTAGAAGCAGGAAGGCCCGGACTCTAGTCTACTCTCAGTCCTAGAAATTCATAATGCAAGTATTGCACTCTATGCTTCTGAATTTTCCTGAAGAACCCCATGGACACTGTTTTTAATATGTATTTATGCATGTATAAGCATGATCTGGTCCTGCCGTGGAAGCTACCAGATCCTAGCAAATTTGTAGTCCATTCTGATTTATTTCTGATCCATTGTGGGAGCTGGCAGCCTTAATAATATTATCATAATTTGCAGCAGAACAGATTAACTGCTGCTGTGGAAATCTATTCTGTTTCAAGTGAGATGAAATTATGTGACTTCTTCCCCCATATTGGTTCAGGTGATGCTGAAGTGAGAAGCATGCTTTTCTCAGTTTCCTCTAAGGCCAATGCAGAAAAATCATGCTCAAGGTCCCATGTAGGTTCCCAGCCTGAAGGTTGGCTCTAGAGTTGTAACTGTAAGTTGACAGCTGGGAAGACTTAGGACAGTGTTTCTCAACCTTGCAGAGTTTAAGATGGGTGGACTTCAATGCCTAGAATTCTGGCTGGGGAATTCTGGAAGTTGAAGTCCACCCATCTTAAACTCGGCAAGGCTGAGAAACACTGGCTTAGGATGAACCAACTGTGAACATTTCCCATGCCCCAGGACGGTCCCTGACACTGCATCCCTTTGGGGGATTCTTTCAGATGCCAGATTTCCAGACTGGCAGAGAAATGGTGGTCAATCAGATTAGCTATTCTATCTATTGGAAGCCTTGAATACAAGCTCAGGGACAGAATGATTCATATCCTTTAGTTCCTGGAATGACAGACCAGGGATTACAGGATGCAATTAAGCCCATTTTTCTTCCCACCAAATCTACAAAAGCACAAACTTTTAAACTTCCAACAGTTTTCATTGGTTAGATAGCAAGAGTCTAAATTTAGGAACACACATTGCATGAAAAAAAAATGCTTCTATGGCCCAGTGCCAAGACTTACTTCAGTGAAAGATGTTAATATCTAGGTTAATATGGCAATCGCTCACATTTTATGTTTAGATTTAGACTTGAAAGAATATGAATCACTTGGAAAGACAAGTAAAATATGTTGCCATTAACATTTTTCTTAAATGTTATAAAATTGTTATACATTTACAAATATTTCTTACAAATTTAATTTTCTTGAACAATGACTTTGTTGTGACAGCAAAGTAC